ACAGCTGTTAAGCTACGTATTGTTTTATATCCGAACTTAGTAAAAGTTATAACATTGTTTCGAAGGATCGCTTTTGTCCCGCCTGATTTTAATATAAATAATAGAAAAATAGAATAAATTACTGTGTGTGTGCTTGTGTTTATCGATGGGTGAGTTGTATTGTCGTCGTTCATACCTTTGTTTAGCTAATTGGTTAAGGTTTACACGCAGTTTTAACGGGTTTTAAGGTAGAATATTTTGATACTGATACAAAATCTATAATAGTATCAGTATCAGTAAACAAAAGATATACTTATACGAGCGATACAACGTATTATTATATCAGTATCACTCTGGTATCGTGTAAATACATGGGAATTACTAATAACAAGATGAACAATACGTTATAGAAGTGATACTGATAGTTGCAAGGTGATGTTACGCGTATAAAATTAGTTATTGAAGAGAATTTAACATTTATAACAAGAAAAAATATATATATTTTTCTACATTTATTCAACAATAAAATTTAGAGGAAAAAAAGGAAAATAAAGAGATTTAATTTACGTCACTAATGGCATTTACTGTAATGGAATTAAAGAAGGGAATGTCTTTTTTTTTTTAAACGGTAATTTAAAAAAGATACAAATTTTCTATACATTTATTCTTAATCTGTGTACAGATTTTTATGTAGTAAAGAGCAATTTTATATCCAGGCCATTAAGGGAGAATGTATAAAGAAAATATCTAGAAATATTATATATAAGTAGCATTACGTTTTTTTAGATGTGGAAGGGTTTCTAAAAATGGTAAGTTTACCTTTATCATAGCGAAGTAAACCACAAAAATGTTTCAAAAAATCTGGCATAAACTCTACTTTTTCCTCATTTTTCTTTACTTCTACTTTTATGTTGAATAATAAATGATTCGAAGAATTTTTGCTGTGTATTTTTTTTTTCAGTTTTCTTGTAGAAAATAGTATCATTATGAATTCTTCTAGTACCTAGAATAAGAATGAAAGGGTAGTGATTAAAAATGAATAAATAAAATTAATTTTTCTATAGCAAGATTAATGTTTACTTTACCTGGAATTGGGGTGTTGTTGTTGCTGTAGTAACACGATCGGATTTATGATACTTTTAAGCGGTTATTTTTAAAGTTTGGGGTCGATTTAATTGTATTTCTTGAGGATGTATACGTGGAGAATGTGTGAAAGTAACTTTGGATACATTAGTTAAGTGTGTAATTATGTATGTGCATAAATCTTAAACAATTGTGGAAGGTGTTATCTACTCTTCTAACAGTTAGGAGAATAGTGTGTAAGCGTATGAAAGATTATGTTGAATGACCAGGTTTATGATTATGCAAAGGATACACAGAAGAGTAGTGAGTACATACATGCCTTAAAGATTACGGAAGAGATTTGCCACTTCGTATGCAATCGTTACAGAAAAGATGTGTACGTGTACTTATTACAGGCATAAAGAGTATGATGGAATTAGTTTGAGGGTATGAAAGACTTAGTTGAGGATACGAAGGAGTTAGTATGAGGATATGAAGGAGTTAGTATGAGGATATGAAGGAGTTAGTGTGAGGATATGAAGGAGTTAGTCTGAGGATGTGAAGGAGTTAGTCTGAGGATATGAAGGAGTTAGTCTGAGGATATGAAGGAGTTAGTGTGAGGATGTGAAGGAGTTAGTCTGAGGATGTGAAGGAGTTAGTGGTTAGTCTGAGGATGTGAAGAAGTTAGTGTGAGGATGTGAAGGAGTTAGTCTGAAGATATGAAGGAGTTAGTGTGAGGATATGAAGGAATTAGGTGAGGATATGAAGGAGTTAGTGTGAGGATATGGAAGAGTTCGTGTGAGGATATGAAGGAGTTAGTGTGAGGATACGTAGTAGTTTGAGAATATAAAGGAGTTAGCTTGAGCGTATGAGAATTCGAGGAGTTAGTTTGATAGTTTGAGCGTAAGAGGAGTTAGTTTGAAAGTTTTAGAGTATGGTATTGAGAGTTTGAGGAGATAGTTTGAGAGTACGAGTTAATAATTAATAACTACACGAGTAATATTATTATACTCATATACTTATATAACTACTATTATTATTCTAGATATAAACTGTAATGTATGTTTAGAATAATCTCTGTGTAGGAAGCATTCTTAGGAGATAGGATGGGTTACTTAGACACAAAGGAATTCAGCTGGTAAAAAAGATCAATAATTGCGATAAAATCATAAAATGTTAAATTAAAAGATACATTAAAAAATAGAATTTTAACAAGAGATTTAATAGGAATGCTATAATTAGATACAGAATTAATGGGGGTATAATTATAAACACAAAATTAACTGGGTATAATTGTGATTAGTAGAAATGGAAATGAGATTAACTACGTTATAATTATGAGTAATTTAAGCAGAAATTAAATTAATTATAATCAGTAAAGCTTATAGACAAGCATAAGATTAAAGGTCGATGTGTTTTTTTTAAAAAAATAAGGTAAATTCTAGTAAAATGTTATGAAATTATTAATAAAATATGTTTTGGATAAAAAAGTATATATATATATTGTATTTTTATACTAAGTAGAACGTTTGTAAGAGAAGGATAAAGAAAAAGGAGAAAATTATGGGAAAAAAGCAGAAAGAAAACAAAGGCTCTCCCTCACAGGCATCTTACCCAAAATTCGAAATAAAATTATAAATAGGAAACAAAATATATATTATTATTAGTGATTTAAGTGCAAAATTAACGTTTAATTACATTGATAGGACGAATATCGCGTTAATTAATATATCAAATAATAAAAATTAAAGTTAAAATTAATAGAAATTCATTGTAAAAATTTGGTATGGCATGAACTTCATCACTCAATTTCTATAGAAGTATGAGTATTTTTATACATGAAATACATATTTTATGCTTAGAAAGCGTGTAAAAATATATTTTAAGTGTCAAAATGTTCGTTAAAATAAAGATACATTTAAAATTATACAAGTAAAATTTATAGTAGAAGGGCATTTATCTTTCCCTCATGTCATCTCTCTCCCCTGATATCATAAAGATGCTCAAGTTACAAGAATATAAGTCTCGCATCCCTCTTATTCTGAATGCAATAAGAATATTTTAAGAAAAATTAAGTTATCGAGTAGTAAAGTATAGGAAACTTCACGAAAATAAGCAATTTATTTGGAGGAATTTCCGGAATTTTGCAGAAATTCTTGCACTATCCAACATTTTTTAAGGAGAAGATAATTTTACGACGAATCTACTTCAACTAAAAAGATTTGAAGAGATTCTAATATTAAAATTATCCATAAAAAAACGATTGAGAATGAATTCTCCTGTCGTATGTTAGAGAAGGATGCTGGAGAGAAAGATGCGGAGGGATGCAGAACGAATGGAAAGAATAACAGGATTAAATAGGCACATAACTTCTTACGTGGTTACTTAATCCTATTAGGATTTTTGTAGTAGTCCTACACCAGATTATTCTACACCAATGGAGTTAAAGAATTGCAAGTTAGAATCCAAACTAGTTTCCAATTCAAGGAAAAATTATTCTGTAAAATATATTATATAAAATCAAATTAAATTATAATAAATAGAAGACGAATGTAGTTAGATGAATTCGTTCAGTTAAAGTTAGTTGAATTTAAAATGTTACATTTATATTTTCTTGATGAGGAAGAGAAAGAGAAAGAGGCAAACGTGTATGTAGTAATATATAAATGAAGGTGCATTTATTAAAAGACTTGTGCAACTTAATGTAATTATTGTTGAAAGATGACAATTTAACCGTATTGAATTGGATAATTTAATTTTCTTCTATATTAATTTAGCATCTACATCGAAATTGGGGTTTACTTTTACGAATTTATTTCTCGTTACATTAGTAATCTTGGCGGTATTTTACTTAATTTTATTTCTTTTTCTAGTTGTAGATCGAGTTATATTTTATTAAATTTTGAATATTTTATTAATAAAAACTAATTTTATTTCTCTTTTCTTTTTTTCTACCTCTTTCACATTCCTCTCCTACTCCTTCACATATCTTCCTCCTTCTCCATCACCTCCTCCACCTCCTCCACCTCCTCCTATATCTCTTCCTCCCACTCCTCACACTCATCTTCTCCTTTTCTCCCATTTTCTCTATTTTATTTTTCTACTTTACTGCTTTTTATTCTATTCTTTCACTTTTTCTTCTCATTTTCTTCTCTTACCTTTTCTTTTCACTCTCTTCCTCTTCTTCTTCTCTTGCTTTTCTTCCTTCCTCCTCTTCCTTCTCCTTCCTCGTTTCTCTTCTCCTTTTTTTCCTTCTTCGTTTCTTTTTCCTCACTTTTCCTCTTCCCTTTTTTCTCCTTTGCTTTTCTCTTCAAAATTTTCCATACGTTATTACAGTAATATTGTAAATTAAGTAGAATGTATACGGTGTTTAATATTTAATTTTATATATGTTCGATGTATACGTGCTGCCTCATCAGATATTTTTGTCACTATAAACGCAATGTATAATCGTTAGTGGATCTTAATGATACATTTTAGTTAATTTACTTATTACTCGAGTAATATCAAGCGTTAATTTTAATACATTAATAATATTTATTACTAATAGTACTAATTACTGCTTATTAATATTATAGAACTATATATAACTGCTGTGCTCTGTTATATGTTCCTGTAGTAGTATACACTTAAAACAGTATTTACATCGTATTTATTTTGTATTCTTTAGCATAATTTAGTTATTGGAGATAAGTTTCTACTGTAAGAATTACAGTTATTATTATTTAAGTAATGCTAAGCTATGAAAGTAATATGAGAGGAAGGAAAAAAAGTAGTAGAAAAAAGGGAAAAAGAATAATGAAAAATAGGAGAAGACATGAAGAGAAGGATAAAGAAAAAGGAGAAAATTATGGAAAGAAGGAAAAGGAAAAGTACGAGAGGAAGAGAAGAGGAAAAGAATAGGGGAAAATTATGGGAANGGAAGGAAAAAAAGTAGTAGAAAAAAGGGAAAAAGAATAATGAAAAATAGGAGAAGACATGAAGAGAAGGATAAAGAAAAAGGAGAAAATTATGGAAAGAAGGAAAAGGAAAAGTACGAGAGGAAGAGAAGAGGAAAAGAATAGGGGAAAATTATGGGAAAAAGCAGAAAGAAAACAAAGGAAGAAAGAGAAAAGAAGGAAAATGGAAGACGAAGAGAGAGAAAAAGGAAGAAGGAGGAAGAGAAGAGGAAAAAGAATAGGAGAAAATTATGGGAAAAAAGCAGAAAGAAAACAAAGGAAGAAAGAGAAAAGAAGGAAAATGGAAGACGAAGAGAGAGAAAAAGGAAGAAGGAGGAAGAGAAGAGGAAAAAGAATAGGAGAAAATTATGGGAAAAAAGCAGAAAGAAAACAAAGGAAGAAAGAGAAAAGAAGGAAAATGGAAGACGAAGAGAGAGAAAAAGGAAGAAGGAGGAAGAGAAGAGGAAAAAGAATAGGAGAAAATTATGGGAAAAAAGCAGAAAGAAAACAAAGGAAGAAAGAGAAAAGAAGGAAAATGGAAGACGAAGAGAGAGAAAAAGGAAGAAGGAGGAAGAGAAGAGGAAAAAGAATAGGAGAAAATTATGGGAAAAAAGCAGAAAGAAAACAAAGGAAGAAAGAGAAAAGAAGGAAAATGGAAGACGAAGAGAGAGAAAAAGGAAGAAGGAGGAAGAGAAGAGGAAAAAGAATAGGAGAAAATTATGGGAAAAAAGCAGAAAGAAAACAAAGGAAGAAAGAGAAAAGAAGGAAAATGGAAGACGAAGAGAGAGAAAAAGGAAGAAGGAGGAAGAGAAGAGGAAAAAGAATAGGAGAAAATTATGGGAAAAAAGCAGAAAGAAAACAAAGGAAGAAAGAGAAAAGAAGGAAAATGGAAGACGAAGAGAGAGAAAAAGGAAGAAGGAGGAAGAGAAGAGGAAAAAGAATAGGAGAAAATTATGGGAAAAAAGCAGAAAGAAAACAAAGGAAGAAAGAGAAAAGAAGGAAAATGGAAGACGAAGAGAGAGAAAAAGGAAGAAGGAGGAAGAGAAGAGGAAAAAGAATAGGAGAAAATTATGGGAAAAAAGCAGAAAGAAAACAAAGGAAGAAAGAGAAAAGAAGGAAAATGGAAGACGAAGAGAGAGAAAAAGGAAGAAGGAGGAAGAGAAGAGGAAAAAGAATAGGAGAAAATTATGGGAAAAAAGCAGAAAGAAAACAAAGGAAGAAAGAGAAAAGAAGGAAAATGGAAGACGAAGAGAGAGAAAAAGGAAGAAGGAGGAAGAGAAGAGGAAAAAGAATAGGAGAAAATTATGGGAAAAAAGCAGAAAGAAAACAAAGGAAGAAAGAGAAAAGAAGGAAAATGGAAGACGAAGAGAGAGAAAAAGGAAGAAGGAGGAAGAGAAGAGGAAAAAGAATAGGAGAAAATTATGGGAAAAAAGCAGAAAGAAAACAAAGGAAGAAAGAGAAAAGAAGGAAAATGGAAGACGAAGAGAGAGAAAAAGGAAGAAGGAGGAAGAGAAGAGGAAAAAGAATAGGAGAAAATTATGGGAAAAAAGCAGAAAGAAAACAAAGGAAGAAAGAGAAAAGAAGGAAAATGGAAGACGAAGAGAGAGAAAAAGGAAGAAGGAGGAAGAGAAGAGGAAAAGAATAGGAGAAAATTATGGGAAAAAAGCAGAAAGAAAACAAAGAAAGGAAGAGAAAATGTGGAAGATGACAGACGGAAAGAGAGAAAAAGGAAGAAGAAGGAAGAGCAGAGAATTAATGGAAGAAGAGCGAATAGAGGAGAAGGACAGGAAGGAGAAAAAAAGTAGAAGAAGGAAAGAATAATCTTCAATTGCATATTTTTCGATAATCTCTTAGATAAAAGATTAATTTAATTTTTTACTGCTATTTTTCTTGATATTTTAGCCAAATTTAAAATCTATTCAAACATAAGTTACATATATTATTATTATTATTATTTATACCTATAAAAGTAGAGTACATTCGAGATATAATTAAAACAATTTATATCGCGATTTATAACTGTAATTTTAATAAATAGATTCATTAGGATATTAAATTTCCTTTGTTATTATAGTAGTAAATCATATTTTCCTACAGATTTATCCATTACGTTTAACATTTATCAGCATCGTTATTACTGAATCTCCGTTCTAAATAATGCTATTATAGTATCATTTACAGAATTTTTATATAATTTTACAAATTTATTACTTTAGTAGTTAATTGAAATTAATTATAATCGTTGTAATTTTTTCCTATGTAAAAGCATTGAGAAATCGCATTACAACAACACTTTAGACTTCAATTCTCTTAGGAATTATGCAATAGAATCTGACATTATTCATCTCACATTACTTTTACAGCAATAAAATTCACTTGAGATAAGAATTAAGATGAAAATAAACATATATCATACTTTACACCCATTGAAAACTAAGAAAACAACGAGTTTACCACACGTTTTTCTGTTGCTAAAACAGATTTTAATGCTGTTGTAGTATAGTAATAAACTTTATTTAAATAAATTCGATTGGTTTATTATTAAAATAGCATATAAATTCTTGTTTTATTTGATGCCAGTTATCAAATTCAACGTGTTTTATATATATATAGATAGATCTATATAGAAATCAGAAGCACAGCTTTTACTTCATCTATTTGGAAGCTCGGAGGAATTGTGGATGTCGTATGAAATTGAAATTACTTCTGGTCTCCCTGTGAACTAACAAGAACGACTTTGAAGGAGAAAGTTAGGGGAATGAAGTTGGATTCATTCAAAGACATCGTCCCCCTTCCTATCTCTGGCGGGTTGAAAGTAATCAAGAACAGCACTCGACAAAACATGGCGTCGGTTGCTAGGATACCCGTCATCTACTTCTTCCCCCCTCTTTCTCCCGATATTGTATGATATATTCAATACATCCTTCCAGTAGTAATTTAGATCTCATCTAGTTCTTCGATTGAGAGCACAAAGAAGGTTAATTTCCAAAGTCTTTAAGAAGCGAGGAGAATGAAGTTAGCCATTGCTCTTTGATTGTTAGTAGTTACTTTCACCCCCCTCCCCTTCCCTCTTCCTGCAATTGGATGGAATTTTCGAAAATTATATTGTGAATTTATAGTGTTTTAAGGGGGAAGAATTAGTTTTTAAGTACTTAGAAAAGTATTTTTTTTCTTACTTATTCCTAAGTTTGTTGTTTTAATTAACACTGGTTAGTAGTTACTTCGTACTTTTATGAAAAGTGTGGCCTGCATTTGAGGCTCTACAGGCTCACAATAGAGATTTAAGGCTATCTTATAGGGATTAGCATAAAAAATACTGAAGAGTTATAGAATGTATGGTACATAAAGTCAAAGATGGAATCTTCTTCTGTTTCCTTCAGGTTATCCCAACCCTTATAACTTTACTGTTTTTAATAAATCTCTTCTGTCATTCTATCCTCGTTCACGTCTCCTTGCACCTCATTCTCCCATGTCCTCCTTCATCACCTCTTTCTTGCTCCTTGTCTCCCTCTTCTCTCATCTAAGAAGGGAAATCAAAAACATCAGATCTCCTCGTCAATTACCAGACTAATTGTACGATTTCTTTATTAATATATTTATAATTAACTTTTCTGACTTTAAAAGTAATTCACGAGCAGTTTAACACGTAAAAAATTCTAATTTTTTGTGCAATTTATAAGCATACTTCAACCCACATCCAGAAAGTATCACCATATAAAAGAGAAGGAAAAATAGAAGAAAAGAAAACAAAAGTTAAGCAACCTTAGCTAATATTGCTTCATTTTTTTTCCTAGGAAAAAAAAACAAATCTGTTATCAGCTTCACTTGCTTAGTTTTATAAAAGTAAAGAAGCTTACAGGAAGCTTTTCAATTGTTGTACTTTCACCCTCATGCATATGGAGTTCACAAGGGATCTATAGATTTTGCTTCTATAAAAACGAATAATGTACTCCTTCCTCGGGCTATATATATTATAAACACGCTATTTTTTTAATTTTCACTCGAATAAACTAGTCTTTTTTTCACCCTAGAGATATTGGTAAGAGGGATTCTTCCATATTTATGTACTGGCTTCACTCTATTCTTTTGTATAAAGAAAATTGCATGGCTATAGCAATTTGAATTTCATCTCCCCCATCTTCTTCTCTTCCTCCTCCTCCTTCTTCTCCATCTTATAATGAAGAAGATAAGGAAATTTCTACATAAAAAATACCCTAAATTCATACGTCACTATATCTAATCACCGTTTTTTTTTTAATATATATATAGAATAATTCATGAAAATTATTGCTAACCTCAACAGAAAATTTTTTTATAAATATTTTGTTATAAATCTTTATAATTTTTCGTGTAGAATGTGCTGAAAAGGTTCTTTTTTTATATACACATATATTTAATATTTGCATATTTTCATATTCAGGAAGTAAATGATAAAATCGATGTGGGTTAAAGTTAAATTTTAAGCTTGGTTTTTTGGGTTAAAAATCATTTTTAGATGGAGGAGGTTGCTGAGATTCTTATCTTCTCTTCCTTAAAATAAAGTATTAAAAAAAGTGATGCTAAGTAGGGGGGATGCTGCTTGATCCTACTTATCACTATAAACCTGTATTAACTCGATGCACAATAGTTTCTAGTGTATTGGCTTTGTGTTTAACTGAATTTTTGGATAAATTAAATGCGTTTAGGACTTCAAACTCTAATAAAACTCTCAATAACTGAATTTTTATAAGAGTTTGTGTGAAATTTAATTCTTTATACAAAGGTTTCTTGTATACTGACTCTAAATTAAAGTGCTTAAACTACATTTATGCTTTATCCTACTGATTTAATTAAATTTATACAAGTTAAAGTATGAAATTCTGAGCTTTTTACACAAGTTACTCTACCATACTGAGCCTTTTTAATTGTAAAATCTAAAGATCTCTTCGAATAAAATCTTTAAATTCCAATAACTGAGTTTGTATAAGAAAGAGGGATGATATTCTAACATTCACAAGCAGAAAACTAACTTAAAAATTCGGATTTTCTCACCTCTTACGGCAAGAAAACGTATGTTATTTTGTTTTCTTCGTGTAAAACCAGTCAAAATTTAGTAAAATTTGATCCAAATTCTTATAAAAACTACATAAATCGTACTGTAGAAAGTCAGAAAGTAATATCCGGAGTCCTACATCGATAGTAAGGAAACTATCTTAGTAACGAAAAAAAATAAATAAAATAAAAATGGGGGTGGAATCTTAGATGGTTCCACTTCCCCAAATATATTGATCTATATATATATATATATATTTTTTTTTTCTTCCCTTTTCCAAAAGGTTTAACAGCTTTATTAGAAGAGAGAAGATAAGACTTTTGTTTACAATATGGCGGATTTTATCGATTTTTGGTGGAATTCGCGACACGTGCTTCCGTTCCCAAAATATCAGCACATCCTCCAGATTTCAATCGCTTTCTTTCTTACTTTTCCTTAATGACAAGATACAAATTCTCATCCCCCTTTAAGCAATCTTTCCTTTTGTTTCTCTTCTCTAAATATTTAAAATTCGATAAGAAAATGTGATTTTATTCTTAGAAAATCAGGGGGAAAAAAGCCTTTTTCTATTTATTAATTTTATATGATAAAATCTATTTTTAGGTTTAATATCAGTGTATGTTTTTCTTCTTTTTATTTTGGAGTAGAATTGATACGCTTACGAACTCATTTTCTTAAAGAATACGCTTGAAAATTGGGTATTTTAAGCGTATAAAACTCGATTAATACTAATATAAGTCATTTTTAATATAAATTTAAGCATTTTAAAGTTAATTTATTGACGTAAAGATTAGAAAACTAACCGTTAAAACCGCATGCTTACTCAGAAGTGTCTTAGTTACTCGATGAACTTTGACCCTTTTATACGAAATTCGATTAAGCTAGACCCGTTATAACAGTAACTTCTTTTCAATAACATTCTAGGAATTCTGTTTGAACCATAAAATTCTCTAGATATCAGCTTTTTGAAGAGTTATCTTTGAACTCTTGTGCTTCAGATAAGTTTGTCAAGCACTCGAATGCTTTACAGAACACACACATTCTGGACTTTATACACAGTTAAACAAACTTTAATTCCGTTTAAAAAGAAAAATATATTAAAAATTGACTAAATTTCTTTAAAAAAAATATTATAAAAATTCCATTTAATTCTTTTTATAAATCAGCATCAACGACTTATTTTCCGATTTATCCAAGTTATCGATAAGGAAGATGAGGAGGAAATTGTTGAAAGCATTTAAACAGATGGAGAAGAATCTACAAGGGCAGTCGATTAGTTTAAGAAGATAGAAGATAAGAAGATTGAAGTAATCCAAAACATATTTTTTAAATTTACTGGATTCATAGGGATAGGAATAAGTGATTACAGAAGAAATAAGAATCATTAAGATCATGGATTAAGAATGAAAGTTTGATGAAATTTATGTGAAATACGATAAATATAATTTTAAAAAATTCATAATTTANAGAAATTTTAAAGCTGAATTTTTTACACTTTTAAACTGATAATGATTAAAAAGAAATTTCAAAGCTGGATTTTAAACGAAACAGA